AAACATTAAACTGCTTTTTTTCAAATAATCATCCTGTTGGTTCTATATTGTTGTAATTACTTCATTTAATGGAGTATTGAGTTTTAGCCCATGTGCTTGCCAAGGTAACCCTGTCACACACGTGAGGCTGGGTTTGTGTGTTCACATGCTGCCAGGAAGGGGTCTGTTAACTTAGATTCTGACAAAGTGTGTTGCACGCCTGAACTGAGAAGCTAATGCTTTCAAGCAGCTGATTAAAGAAAAATGTTGATATTTTCTTTAAGGGCTTTGGACACAGTTAGATGCTTGTTAATTTTCTGTTGCTCTTGCTTGTGTTTCTGAAAGCATACTGGCTTTAGACCTTTCTCTTTGCTTTCTTCAGATTTATCTGATGAGGATCCTTTTGACTTCAGGAAGGGAGAAGAGCTGTTTAGGCTCGGGATCATTCTAGGCAAAAGTAGAGGTCATGAACACTTCTAAGGTGGAGGTTCAAGGAAGATTACTAAACACCAAAACATTAAGGGCTGGTAGGATGACAACCCTCCCTCTCTTCTTCAGGTGGAGCGTGTTCAGAAGGACGCTGTCTCTTCTGCTCCTGCAATCCTAAGTGTGTTTGGCTTGAGGCTGGAAGGATTGGCTGTGACTGGTACAAAACCTGACAGCGAAGATGACTGGAAGTGAGTGTGTGTGGTTTTATTTGGTTTCAGGAAGCCAGCTGGAAGCAGTACAAAAAGTTCTTAGGCTAAATGGTTGCTAATTTTTTCTAACATGACACTGTCGCTGCAAGCCCTGTGCTGCTACTGACTGCCTGACTAGAAGAAGCCGCTTCTCCCATCAGCTGCGTTAGATGTTTGGATGTGAGCACTGGAGTGTTAGCCAGTTGCCTGGCTGCTCAGAGATTGCCCCTGAAAGGCTGGAAGATGTATCGAGAGAGTGTTACCTGAGGTTACCCGTCCCCTGCAGGCCAGTCCATCACTTTTTACGTTCTTTCCCTCCGAGTCTCTGGTTTAAGCAGATTTTGACTTGCTGGGAGTGCCTGGGCACTGCGATGGTCAGCATCAGTTTGCAGGGTGCAGGATTGTGTTCTGGAGGAAATACGTCACCTCACAAGAAGGACATGTTGTGCAAGGAAAGAAACACCAAACATGTATTCAGCCTGCCTGTGGAAAGGACCACAGTTACTTTACCAAGTCGTACCAAGTGATGGCACCTTGTTGAGTCACAGCTGGTTGCAAATGCCGTGGTGAATATTCACTTCTTGTTTATTGACTTTTGATGTGGTTACTGCTGGCTCTGTGGAGGAATGAGCAGGCTGTTGTGGAAGCCACCTTGGTCTTTATGAGCCAGTGTCCTCTGAAAATGCCCTGCTGAATAATTCTCCAAGGCTCTGGGTGTGGATCATCTGCATTTCCTTTCCTGCATCTGGGGGGCTGAAGCTGCTGAAATGCTGTAAGGTGACTCCCGATTCCCCTCTCTAATCCCTCTTCACTGGTACATTTTAACCTTTCTTGCTTGCTTTGTGGACACTGTGCTGGCATTGCGGACACCTGACCAGTTGGAAGGGGCTTAGAGAAGGGCCCAGTTTGTACAGAGGAATTAATGCTGCCAGGAGATGGGCTAAAATTGGGTAATCTCAAGGAACAGTCATGATCTTCGCTGTGCTTCTGTGCTTGAAGCAGCAAAACAATCTGTTCTTGCATGCAGTCTCACGATGCTCCTATTGCTTTAGCAACCAGTGAGCAATGCACCAGTGTTTTCCACAACTCCTTTGTCAGCTCATCTCTTGTTCCAGTGAGCTCCTCTGCAGTGTGGAGTTGGGCAGGGAGCATGTGCCCTTGAGATAGCTCTTCTCTGAAGTAGGCTCTTGAAAAAGAATTCCCCAGACATTTTCGGCAGGAATAAAAGGAGGGAGGTTACTCCTCTGTGAAGTGGAACTATTTCGTTGTTTGGGAGTGATGCTTTAATCAAAGAAAGAGCGTTTCTGAATAGGAGAAGAGTACCCAGAGTGGTACTCAGTCCATCACCTTGTTCTCAGCTCGTAAGCCATGTGTTGTACTGTGGCAGTGTCAGAAACGCGTTCCTGTATTTCTCATGTAGCTTTGGTTCCTCACCCTCTCCGCAAAGCTCAGTGGAGCAGTTGTCTCTGTTCCTCCGGCTGTAGTTTTGCAGAGGTTGTAGCCCTGCGCTGCTGGTGACAGCCACCACCACCTGCCCCTGACCAGAGCGTTCCTTTCCTGCCTTCTCCCCAGACACTCAGGAGCACCAGGCTGGTGCACTTACGGATCAAAAGCAGTTACTTTTGCTACTTGTTGTTGGATTATATTTAACCCAGCACAGCGCTATGTTCGTGATCACATTTGCTTCATGATTACTTTTGGTGGCCAGCAGGGATGGGAGATGAGGAAGGCGCGGTGGCCTCATCAAGCTGTGGTGCTGGTTCAGGCTCAGGCTGTGTTTAGGACTGTGCTGTCAGTCTGTCCCACTGCGTGCTGTGGTAGTGAGTGTTTGGCTGAGTAATTAAAAAGGACTCAATTTCTATCACTTCACTGTTAATTCTAATAGTGGAGTTGGAAATAGAACCTAGAGGTGAAGCAGCAGCAGGATTTTAATTGATAGATAATACATGCAAGCCTTTTAGAGACGCTAAAAATCATGTAAGATGTGACCAGAAAAGAGGATGGCTCATTTTTTCCTTCTTGAAGATTCTTTGTTTTTTTAGTCCTTGTTATGATATATACAGAAGTGCTTTCTTACAGCATTTTGTCTCCAACTTGGACAAACTCTTGAGTTGCTTGTGACAGTGGTTGGGAAGAATAATGCATAACTTTGGTCTTGCCTTGAGAGCTCTGGACTCAATGTGATCTTGTAGCAACTGGTTTCTGAATGCTTGCAGTAGAAACTTTTTTTTTTTTTTTTAGCTGCTGAAAAACAGTGTTATAAATTTGTGAAGACAATTTACTGCCATCCTTGTTCGTTAGTTGTGCTGTTGAGACTGTTTATGTGGTGGCTTTTCTATCCATGGTAGCACTGGCAGAGCCCAGGGGTGTTCTGCTCACCAGCATATTCCCCCTTTGAGGTCCTCAGAATGATTTTCCTCGTGCTTTTTGTGACAGGCACTGACTCTGCGTCTTGTTTGCTTGTGAAGGAAGTGCCGCTGGGTAAAAAAACACAACCTCCTTCACATTTCAGGAGGTGACTTAGCAGGAAGATGAAGGGAGCCTTCAGTCTGAATGTGGAATTAAAGCTGTGCTTTCCAGTTAGAGAAGTAGGTGGGTCAGGCCTTAGGATGTCTTGTTCACAGGATAGAAGGGAGCTGTCTGATCCCAGGCAGCGAGCTGCTGCGGTACTGAGAGGTCCTGCACAAGCGTCATCGTCTTCACAGTTAATCAGATAAAATGCTCCAAAACACACTCTGACTTGACCCATGAAAAATGCAAAATTGATTCCCAAACCCCAGTGCTCGTCACGCTCTCCTGAACCTTAGTAGAAGCCCAAACCACCACAGCGTATCTCGGGTGGAGAGGCTGTGTCAAGCTAGCTGTGCTTGGAGACGGTATGCAGATTAGATGTTTAATTTGTTGCTTCTGGGAGGGGTGGGGAAAAGTTGGCTGTCATTTGGAGCACCTACGTTTTGTTATGCTGATTCTGTAGGACAGATCCCAGGTAGATTGTGGACCTGTGCTGAAGTCAATTGTTATATCTGGAAAGAAGGACGTATTTCTATAATATACAAACATCTGGATGCCTGTAAGCTGAGCTCAGCAATAGCTGAGCACTACTGTCATCATTAAAGTGCTACCATCTGTGCAGAGTAAGAAAAGCTTTTCTTGAAGCATAAAAGAAAAAAGCCTTAATGGAAAAAACAGAGCCATTCATGAAAACCTGTCCATTTCAGAGTCAGCTGTGCCTGCTCCTAGCTGGAGGGACTGCAAATCCTTCCATAATGCCTCCGCAACCGTTCAGATGATTAGTTACTGCTTCTGTAATGACTCGTTTTAAAACAAATTTTATGCTGTCTATGCATGGCACCTAGGGAAGTGAATGTACGTTTGGCTCAATCCTTTCATCACACACATGAAAACCCTCGCTCTGAAACTTCAAGGGAAATGACTTGGGTGGAGCTTCTTATTTTAGTTCTCCTCTGATACTTATTTCTCTGAAATTGTAACTCTGTGAAGTTCATATTTGAGAGTGTTTCCCTGAAGTCTTTCTAGGAGGAAGCTTCATTTGTGATGCTCTCATACAGCTGAATTGATTCAGTTGACTCTGTAGCTAATGTGGTGCTCCAGAATCTCAGTGATCCTGCACGTGCCTTGTCTCCTGAACTTTGTGCTGTTGTGCATCACCTTAAAGATGAACAAAACAAATCTGTGGTGAAGCTTTCAGAGCTGAAGTTCAATTTAGGCAGTCACAGGCCTTAATTCTTGCAGACATCCATGTTCCTGCGTTGACAACTGTCAGTGTTACCATGTTCAGCATCAAGGCTCCTAGTCTCTAGCAGTCACAGTAAAGGTTTTGTGTGGTTCTCACCCTGAGATGTGGGAAGAAGAGACGGGAGGGAAGGCAAATTTTGACCAACAGGAGCCCGTCTGGCTGTGCGGTGCTTTGCAGTGCAAGGAAGCTTCCTCCTTCTCTGAGCAGGTCAATGGTGTTTGTAGGACTGGACTTCACACTGGAAGGTGGAGAAAAGAGGAAGAATTCGTCAGAGTTGAGCAAATTGGAAAGAACTGACTCTTACTGCTCCCTGTCCCTTCTGTGGAAAACAAGTTAAAAGGGAATTATCTCCACTATAATGATTTATTCTAGGGCTTGGTTTTCCCTTCACTCCGGTTCTTCCTGTTGGCGGTGGCCATCAGCACTGCAGGAAAGGAGTGAGCTAGCAAGTATTTTCTGTCTTGTGTTCCCTTATACTTGTGAATTAAAAACTGCACACACCAGCTGTTCTCTGGGAGTCACTCATTTAGAGTTTGGGGGTTTTTTTTAATTATTCCATTGTGCTTTGTTTTTTTCTAGGAAACTACTTTGCAAGTCACTTCTTTATGGGAGGCGAAAAGTTTGACACCCCTCATCCTGAGGGCTACCTTTTTGGCGAGAACATGGATTTAAACTTCCTTGGCAATAGACCTGTTCAGGCAAGTTCCTATATGCTGTTTATTTTATTCTTTTTTTTTTTTTTCCTGCCTGTTTTGGAAAATCTGGTTTAGGGCTTATAGAGGAGGATAGCAGAGACCTGAGAGACCCTCGGTACTTGGGGAGCATCATTTCAATCTGAGCTGCAAGAGCGTTCCCCCACCTAATGTCCCAGCTTGCTCATTGTCATTTAGGGCAGAAGGGAAGTGGCAAGTGAAGAAGGACAGGGACTCAGGAGCACAGATTTTGGGAGTAATTCTGGTTGCCTGCCTCAGCAAGTGTGAAAACGTGCTGCTGCGAGGAGAAGCCTGGGAAGCAGATCTCCTCTCAGAGCCTGAACTTTAGAGGGCTCCTGGGCACGTTGGATGGATTCCAGCTGGTGTTCACCATGTGCTTTTCTCTGTGTAAACGAGTGGCCTGACTGGGTGTAGGGCAGCATTTAAGAGGGCTTTTGCTATCTGATTTTTCGTTTGCTTTGTAACCTTGTTGGGCTGCTTGGAAAGTCTCCTTTTGTTTTCCCAGTTGGAACACGGAGGTTATTTCCAGGCCCACAGGTTTCTTATAAGGTTGTGAAAAGCTACCTGCTCAGCTTGTTTTTTTATTGTTAACAGGGAGCAGCACTGTTGTGAGGGACAGACAGGAATTTTATGCAAATGCTATGTTTTGGATTTCTCATGCATCTTGGAACTGCTTAGAAAGAACCAAAAGGTGATAGAATAGGAGGCCTTTGGAGGTGTTTTGAGAGTGTTGGAGGGGAAGGGGAAAGCACTGCTTGCATTGCCAGCTGTTTCCTAGTTGTTTCTGCAGCTTCCAAACATGAAAACGAAAAATTGGTATCATGGTTCTTATCTTCAGAAAAGCTGTGACTTGGTTAATTCATGCTTGTAGTGCTCAGCAGTCCAGTATCCACCCCTGTTTTACAGGTAGGGGAAACTGAGGCAAGATGACTTGATGTTTGAATTGGACTGTTGACAAGTGTTTTTCACTTTGTGAGTTGTCCTTGGGCTGTGCCATTGTTTTTTCTCAACATCACAGTTAGTGCCCTACTCTGCAAGGCAGGACAAGGGAGAATCTGGGAAGCCCTTGTTGAAGCAGGAAGTGCAGACGAGGAACAGAATAAGAAAGGAGGGACTTCAGGTGGAAATTGTTCTGAACGTAACAGTACTACGGAGGCGTGGGCATGCTCAGCACGTACCCTACGCCTTGTCTGAGTACAGGGCCTGTGCAGGGCAATGGTGAAAAGCTGACTCCTTCTCCTTTGCTCTGCAATGTGCTCTGCACAGCGCCCTGACCAAAGCAGGAGACGCAGCGGTTTAGCAAAATATCCCACGTGCCTGTGGCCGGAGGGACTAACCTTGCAGACTTAAATTGCCTGCATGTCTCAGCCTGGGTTTCCTCGCAGACATCCCAGCACTGAATTTCATCGTTTCTTCAGAGGGGAGTGGGTGAGAATGCTATTAACACAGTGGGATGTTTGCCAAATACATTTAAAAGAGGGAGGCTGTCATGGCCTGTAGTTTGCCTATGTAAAGTTAATGCCCTTTGGCAGCTCTGATTAATCTTCAAGGAAAAGAAAACCACACTTGAACACAGAGCAGCAAAACTGCTTTCTGGATGCGGGCCAGGTTCTCACTTTGGAGTAACTGAGGTCTTGACTGCTCTGTGTAGAGCAATGCTACCAGCCACAGCGCCAAACAGCCGGGGTGCAAGGGATGGAGCTGCTGCTGCCCTGTGAATTCTCTGCTGCATATGGGGTCTTCTGTGGCCTTCTTGAGTCAACCAGGAAGCAGCACATTTTTCCCTCGTGCTCTGGCTCTTGCCCCACCAATGTGTTTCTGTGGCCTGAGCAGACAAGGCTGAAGGGCTGTGGCTTGGAGCTGCCCTGAAGCTCAGCTGCAGCATTCGGCTGCCTGTTTAGTGAACTCCTCCTTTCGAAGGAAACATGTCTGCTGGTGAGCCCTCGCTGGAGACTGTGTGACCAGTAAGGAGAACTACAGTCTGAAGCATTATTATCCTTTATTTAAAGGACAATCTGTGAGAGAAGGTCTCTTGACTACACAAGAGAATGAGGCCCCCTTTCCTTGTCTTTCTTTCCTTTTCCAGAACATTTGCCCCATTGTTTCAGAGTAAAAAGAGTTTCCCCCAGTAATCCAGGGCTTGGCATGCTGATTAGCAGGCAAGTCACTGTTTGTATGCTGTAATGCACATGAAAGAACTGCGTTTCTTCTGCTCAAGTTGGAGGTGGTTTCTTTAGTAGAAAGAAAAGCTTGCAAGAGCAAAGCTTTCCAGACTAATAATCTGGGGTATACAAAAAGAGCTTGTGAAAATGCATTTTCTTAAAATGCATGCTCCAGATATGAGCTATTGCTCATATCCAGGATTTTCACCATGAAAAGTATTTGATTTATCTGTAAATAGAATTCTCTATTACTGTACCTTGTGGCTGTTGTACTGACAACCTTTAAATGTAAGTATTTCTTGGTTTGGGTAAATTGTATTCCAGGTAACATGTTGCTGCCATTTGTAGTATAATAATAGGAGAATTATTTGTCTTTCTGTTCCAGTTTCCCTATGTAACTCCAGCTCCACATGAGCCAGTGAAGACACTGAGAAGTTTGGTCAATATTCGCAAAGATTCTCTCCGACTTGTAAGGTAATGTTGTTGCCTGAACTTTTCATTTTTTTTCAACACAGCGATCTGTCATCCAGAGCCAAACTGTACTTGATAAGGTTTTGGAGAAATAGCTGATTTCCAGATCCTTATTGTTAGATATGCCCACAGGTTTCTATGATCAGAGCTTTCAAATGTGCTCCTTATCCCTAGACTTGAGGAATTTGTGTTTTTCAAACAGGACCAGCCACGTATCTGGCTCTACACGACAGACTAGAGTGGTAAACAAAACCATGAAATCACTAGCTCATACGGACGATATTAGTCAGGTCAGTAAACCCTACAGACAGATTCCTTTCTGCATTCCTGTGCAAGGAGAAGACAGAAAGTAGCTGATTCTGTTGCAAGTCACAGGCTGAGAAGACTGATTGGTCTTGAGTGAAACTTCCTCAGGTTTCTTCCGCTGCCAAGATACAGTCTGGTCCTGATGTTCTGCCTTCGTTTAGACGGCTTGTGTCCCATGGGTAGGGGACAGAGGTCCAGATAACCGTGGAGATCTGTTACCTTTCGCTGGAGATCTAAACCAGCACTAGCTGGATTGAACACTTTGACCTGCGGCTGCCCTTTTTCAGACAGATGGCTGAAGTACAGGGACGCACTGTGCAGTGCTTTGTTTTGGTCGGAGCGAGCGGGCAGATGTCCAGGCAGAGCACTTCTCAAAGAGCCTAGAGTCGTTCGGCATTCTGCGTTTCAGGCGCGGGGCTGAAGTACTGGCAGGGGGCCAGCTTCAGCTCTCGGCCGAGGTGGTTCTGAGAGCATGGCGTAACGTGAGTAATTCTGAGTCGTAACCACACAAAACCCTCAGTTTTGTTTTTATGTGAAAGCTGAAAGTTGTTTTGTTTTGTTTTAAAATGAGCGATACCTGTGGTTTCAGAACTGATTGAATGGGAAAGGAAGGAAGAATTTCTGAAAAAGTAACTTTTGGTAAACTGCTCTGAATGCTGTTTGACTTTTTCAGCTAAAGGGTGAAGTACTTCCTTAGGAAAAGTCTTGCTTTCTTCCTGCACTTGCTATGGAAAGGGTATTTTGTTCTCCTTGCAGGCATCCCCGTGAACACTGTAACGTATCTCAGAAGGCAAATGGAAAGTGGCTTTTCCACTGGAAGAGACCTTGCTGTGAATGGAGGAGTTGGAGGGGTTTTGTGTGTTCAGTTCTGTTATTCTGCTTTCAGTGGTTGCGTGTCCTGTCCCCCCCAAGCAGAGTTGCAGCTCTGGATTATTTGAAATGTAGTGTCTGCACTTTGACAGCGTCTAGGTTTGCATCCGTCCAGTTCCTGGTACTATTGGGTCTTTCTCTGCCTTGTGAGCTCTCACAGGCTCTTGAGCTACTGCTGCTGTGTTAGTGCTAACAACACCACCACCACCATTATTTAATTTTGTACTGATGTAAACTCAATGAGATTTTTAATTTCTCGTCCCCAAGGGCACATTCTGTCTCATGCTTTTCTACCGTTCTGGACTAGAGGCTTTTCCTTTCTCCCTCTGGTTACGTAAAGACACTTCATGTCTTATTCACAACCAGTGGTTGAGGCTCACACATTGTTTCCAGAACTTGTATCCCTCTTTTGGCTCTGGGTTGGAAGCTTCGCTTCAGAGCTGAAGCACTTGATAGACTGGGACTTGATAGGCTGCTTACTCTTACCTTGAAAGCAGTTCCAGTTGCAGGAGGAAGATCAATTCGTGAGGCGATGTGTTTCATGGAAGAGTTGCATCCTGGGACAGCCTCTCTGCTTCAGTGTGGGCTTTGGATAGCACCGTGGAACAAAAGTGGTGAAAGAATTGGCAGCTCTAGTAGTTTGAGAACGTGTCTGAAGCAGCATCAAATCATGGAGAGTAGTGAGACCACTGAACATTTTGGATAAGGGACCGAGGGGAGGCAGGTGAGTCGCTGTGAGTGGGAGAAGGGAAATCCTTTCTCTTCTCTCTCCAGCACAGTGAGGCTGACCTTGATCTGTTGGTCCTGCGGTGGAGGTGGTGAGGATGCTGGGCCTGCAGCTGGCTGTGCAGCCCTGGAGAGCGTTAAATTGTGTACAGATCTCTGCAGAACCCCCAAATTGGAAAACCTCCTTCTGATGATGATCTCCCCCCATCAAAGTAAATACTAATAGAGATTTCAGATAGTTCTTACTTGATTTAGAGCCTGCTCTAGCACTGTTGTAATGCATATCTCACAATACTAAGTCAAGCAATACTTGGCATTTATCCTGCTTGTCTGCTGAGTTGTTTGTCAAACTTTTTAATCTCAAAGGATGACATTGGGTTTGACTCAACCTATTTCTATAAAATTGTCATGACTGCTGTTAATTATATTTTTATCTTTTAATTCTTTAACAGACAAACAAAAGGTTCCAGAATTTCCATTGTTTTATCCAGAAGTGATGTCAGACCAGGTGGCCTCAGCTCCCTTGGTCATCCTGCTTTGCCTTTTCCATCATAACGTTGGATCAACTATTTGTTCTCAAAGGTGGTCAGTCTCTTCTGCTCTATACACGTGACTGTGAAGGCTGTGTTATTAACTTGTGTGCATGACTGAAAGCACACCTAGCAAAGTCACTGGTTTCTAAATTTATGCATGCATCCATGGCCACCTCACGTCAACACTGTCTGAAGGGCTTGACTAAATATACACTGGGAACTTCAAGTGCAGGTAGAGACAGGAGAACTCTTGAACCACTCCTGAACCACCTCCTTGTCTGCTATGTCCATTGCAAAGAAAGAAGGAATGCAAAATGTGTGACTTTGTCTTGTTACATCTCACCATTCCTGCACCTGAAGGTGGAACATGAGATGTCTCTGCCTTTCACAGCATGCTAGTTCCTTGGTCCAGCCACCAGCTGGCATAGCTGTTCATGCAGCCTTTTCTCACCTGAACTCCTTGCTATGCAGCAGACGATTTTCTTACCCTCCAGCACCAGGCATGTTGCAAGAGGAAGATGCATACACAGCCTTGCTGTGACTGTTGCCCTTTAGGCCTGCGTTCCTTGCCCCCTGCTCAAGCGGTGCAGTTCCAGGCAGACAGGACTCTTGACTCTACTCCTTTCCCAGCAGATGCATCCTCCAGAAACCTTCTGTCCAGGCACTGCAGTTAGTACTGGCCCCTCGGTGGTGTCCTAGGGCAGCAGATGTGTTCTAGTCTTGGTTTAACCCCTTCTCAACAGGATGGAAGCACGTTCTCAGTGCTGGCAGGGAAGTGCAGAGGTGAAGCTGGGAGCAGGGGGGTGATCTGGGAACCCATATGCTTTGCGTGGCTTCACTGAGAAGACAAAACAGGCAACAGTTTTAGCCAGGACATGTTGCTTTTGTGTGATCTGCCCCCATCTCCAGACCTCCCACCTCGTTACTTTGGGGCTGTTGCAGGTATGTGGATCTGTCTCATCAGTCTGTAACTTGTGCGTGTGTCGGGCCTCTCTATTTTAATACCTACTTACAAATGCAGTGAGTATAGGTCTGGGAATAGTCTTTGTCGGTGCTTGCCTGGAAGGGGGTGCTGGTTCTCTCCCACCCTGCCTCTGTGACAAGTGTGTCGTAGCCTGGATCCTTCGCTGCCAACCTCAGATCAACGGAACGCAGTGCAGCAGGAGACAATTTGCAGAAGCTTGTGCTGCTGCGTTCTTGGACACACACAACACTTGTGAGCAGATTGTTGCCATCTGTGTTCTTGGGTCAGTCCAGCACAAAATGTTGATGGTACCTCTGTGTTTTCTAGGCCAACCTGTCCTGATGGCTAGAGTGTTTCTTGTTTACAGCCTTCAAATACCGTGATTTTATTCTTCGAATGCAACTAGCTTGTGTGAAAATACTATCTTGCTCTATACTGTATATTATATCCAGGCTGCTGGAAATGTTCAGGCTCTCAGTTCTCGAGATTTGTCTTCTTCTGTATTAGCATGTTGATATATTCGAGCTTGATTTGCTGTTCCGACCTAGGTGAACCTCTGGTAAAAGTCTTGTCTGGAGCTTTCCAAGTCCTTCAGACAGGAATGCAAGTGTATATGCTAGAGTGATGCACTAGGGTTACATTAGTACAAGTATGTGTGTTAGGTGTTTGATTATATTGCTCTTAAATTTTATTTTGCACCTTCTGTATTAAATTCCTGAAGCTGAACATTTCATTATTTTTCATTGTGGTGTTAAATAAAAATCATACCAGAACCCTTTTAATTAGACAGCAGTTATTGAACTCAGGAAGTAAGGATTCCCTTGACAATTTTTAGATTGAATTACGGAGGTATGCCCAGCCCATTTCTGAGTGTTTTCAACACTGCAGCATATTCATTGAGGCTGTTAAGAGAAGGGAGAGGCCAACTGATACAGTGAAGTCAGGGATGGTGCCAAGCTTTTCCTGAATAGTTTAGCTGCTTGGCTTTGAACCAGACATTGTGGCAATTAAAGTAGTACCAATAGGCAACTGAGGCTGAAGCTGGGCAGCAAATTGTGTTGTACACCGCTCAGACGCAACCTGCTGCTTTCACCGTTCCTACATGGTGTGTGAACTACCAGTGGTACTTACAGTCAGAGGATTACGGTGGGATTTGAAATTACGTGTGAGAATCTGCTTCTGCCCTGCCGGTGAATCGCGCCTGTTCTTGTCTGTTCCTTTGTGCTTCAAAGCAGGGGAGCTCTACTCATGGTGTGTTGGATGCTTGTTCCAGGATCTGCTGGTCTCTCTGGCTGCTCCTGGCACACCGTAACTCACTGCTCAGCCATGGCCGTAGCTGTTTGCGCTGGAGCTTGCTTCACAGCGCCTTTGTCATCGGATTTGTTACCTGCCTTTTCCAGCAGGAGGGAGAAGGAGTAGTAGTGGGCAATGGTGATCACACAGTGGGATCTGGCTCTACAGTAGCCCATAGCCAAGCTATAACTGACCTTTATGTTAATTGAAATAACTTCTAAACTCATTCTTGTGTTGGTTATTATGCGTCTGTTATGCAGTTGAATGTGTTAATTTTTGTTCATATGATAGATGCGTGCAAGCTTCAGTCATTAGCAGCTTTGAAGGTTTCATTGGTGAAACCATTGATATACATTTAAGGGGATTTGAAGTTTCTGATCTAAATAGCTTCTTCTGTGTGGTACTGGAGGTAGCTTTTGTTGAGCTTCAGGAGTTCTTTGTGTTACAGAAACCTTGGTTTTCGCCTGTCATGCACAATTTCATTTGCAGAGTTAAAAGCATTAGGCTTTAGACTTCACAGGCCTGTGCAGGATTTCTTTAGCCCAAATACTGAGCCTAATGTGAGGATTTAAAAGGAAGGACTATGTTTCTTCTTGTAAAGATTCATTTTCTTGCCTCATTCTGTGTCCTGGCACTGTAAGGCTGGATGAGATCCCTCAGCGCGGTTGTTTCATAGTTCACTTCAATAACTTCAGTCAGATTTTGGAAGAATCTTCCTCAGAGGAAAGAATGGAAATCTCATGGAAAGCCCCAAGTGGGGAAGCCCAAGGTGCCTTGACTGCCCAAAACCACCTAGATCAGTGCACTCTTGTCCTGATTTCCAGAGTGATCTTGCTACTATCGCATAAATATATGCCATAATCCTCTGGTGTTGTCTTTCAGGTATAAAGATGATGTTGACAGTCCTACAGAGGAGAATGGGAAGCAGAAAGTCCTGTACAGCCTGGAGTTCACATTCGACGCAGATGCCCGTGTTGCCATCACAATCTACTGCCAGGCTACGGAAGAGTTTGTTGGTGGCATGGCAGTGTAAGTCCTGGGCTTGTGGACGCATGGAGGGGCACAGGAGATCTTGGGTGATGATCCTGTCAAACATCTCATTAATCACCCCCAAGGGCAGTGCTACACCAGATGGTGGAGAGAGAATTCTCTTCTTTTTCTGTTTTGTTTTATGTATTCTGATAGCATTGAATATTACTTTCACTTCCCTCCCCCACATAGCAAATATCCTCTCTTGTTCCCTTTCCGGTTTGTTTTTTGGGGGTAGGGAAATGATTGTGTGTGCAAAGGAGAGGAACTCACAGCTGTATGCTTTGTCAGCAAGATGTTTTATGAAATTAAAAAAAAACCACAACTCCAAACCAACCCACCCTTCCCTTCGAATTCTACCTTTCTATTTCCAGATCACATAACTCACTGAATTTCTGTGTTCTCTGTGACGGGAGCATCTGGGTCACCAAAGTAAAGTTCAGGCTGACATTTACGTAGCGGATCTGTGGAACTGAGGCCCACCCGAAACCCCTTTTTGGGGTATGTGACCACCTCAACACAGGCTGTTGTGAGATAGCTATCAGTCAGCTATCAGCCGAAGCCCTGTCCATGTGTTTCCTGCCAGATACATGTACTAGCCTTCGGCTGGCTGTAGAAAGAGTGGTCAAAGCATCATCTGCGGAGTGTTTCTCTTACCCTGGTAGTGCATCCCGACCAATTTCAAAACCTTTTAACCTAAATCAACACGTTTAAACCATTCCAATCAATGCTGTATTCCATAAGGCTATGAAAAATTTCCCTTCTGTTAAGAGCTAAGGTGGCTGAAACGTGCTCGCCCTGGTGTGAATAGGGTACCCGTGAGCTGCTCGTACGTTGTGGCAGGCTTCCGATGGCCATGGGACAAAGGATTCTTTTTGTTATGTGGCCAAAGGAAGATTCAGGCTGCAGAAGCTCTTGGCTTCCTTCCTCGAGTAGAGGCTTCTGGCTGATCAGCGGCTCTGTGCACGTCGTGCTGATGGCTTCTGCAGTGGTGCTCTGGATCTGGGGATAAGCTTCACGTTTTATTGAAGGGATCTGCTGGGGTTTCAGCAGAGAGAAAGATGTATGACAAACCATGAAATGGCTTATGTGTTTTGTGCAAAGTATAAACGTCCCACTAATGATCAATGAATAGTGGATTTTTAGAAATAAGATGAGCTTAATGCTCCCATCCAGATGTGCGTTCCTATGCACTGGAGGATATCCCGATCCAGAATTTTTGTTTAGGCCTCTTCTCTTCTGTTGAAACCTGTGGCTGTCTTTATTTTGGGGAGGTAATAAATTAGCTCCTTTTAAGGAGCTTGAAAACTACCTCTTGACAAACTCTGAAAACGCTTTCATTGAGATCCAGATTTTCCTGAGCAGAGCTGAACGCCACAGGACTCCTTAGAAATCCTGATAAAGTTTCCGTATTCTGTCTCTTAGGTCCTTAGGTTTCCTGTGAATTTAGTGCTAGTGAAGGTGTTGGAATGGCAGCCTTGGAGATTGAAGTCCTCTTTTCCTAATACAGGTACAACATGAAGAGGTGCCCAATGTCCCTTGCGCTGCCCTGCAGTGATCCTTGGGTTTTAACCTAAGAAAGAAACCACCTGTGAGCTGATGGGGAGAACCAAGGGCCTCTATGGTCAGGGTGGATGTATTTACATTGCCAGGCTTCAGCTGTGGCTTAAAATCAGCAAGGCTGGTTTTTAAATCATTGAGTTTAATCTTGTTTTGCACATTCGCTTGTTGGTTTTCCTCCAAGGAGAATTTGTTCATCACCGGTCAATAACAATGAAACATCTGCATTTACAACTTGGTGTAAGCTTCATATCGAACTTTGTGCTGCATTTTACAAAGAGCTTAAGTTAATTTAAAATGTTTTTTTTTTTGGACTCCCAGTTTCGCATTTTGTCATGCCAAGATGGCAAAAAAGGAAGTTATGTTAAAAAGTGAAGATACTTTTTTTCCTTTTTTTTTTTTCTTTTTAACCTGTGTCTTGAACCAGGCTGTGTTTGGATAGAAATGCAGCTGAATTACCCCAGACAAGCAGCATAGCATTCTTCTTGGTTAAACTGTTCCATGTTGGACTCTCGAGTGACCGTCTTGTCAAGTTGTGCCTTGAATAATAATTGCTAAATGGAAGTATGACAGTTACCAAAGATATCTAACTGTTTCTGGACAGAGGGCGTTTTCAGTCTTCTGTAACCAGTAGCTCTCCTCTCAGAACTCTGGTGGTTGACTAGAGGAAGAAAACACAGTTTCTGGTTCACTTAAGAACACATTTTACTGAAATTTAGTGCCAGGCACTAAGCCAGTGACTGTCACCAGTGCTGTTGTCTGTTCTCTAAAGCTTATGCAGCAAACACAAACTACCTAATTGCTTTTTAAATTTAATTTGAACAATTCCTGTGTAGGTTTTCTGAAAGCTGTCAACTGTCAACTTCAAGGGAAGATACATTTAAAAAAAAAAATCTGAATTTTTTTAATCCACCCTGTCCATGGTTCACTGAGAGATGGATCTCTGTTCAGGTGGCAGAGAAGAAGCCTTTGCTCATGAACCCTACCTGCCTCTGCACGAAACCAGGATCAGGAGTCAGCACTCGTTACCTCGCTAACGAGATGTGTCTGATGATACTGTGCTGCCCTGCTAGGGTGGCAGCAGTCCCCCGTGTGCTAAACCTTTATGTCAAAAGTCAAAGCACTCAGATTCAGCTCTTGCTTCCACTGCTGGCTTTTTATTTCATAAATCTTACTTTAATTTCTCCATAGTATAGGAGTGATGAACTGTCTGTCTCTGCTCTGGAGTTCATGGGCAATAAATGTTACACAAGTTGCAGGGGTGGAGGGGGCTGCACCAGAAGCCAGGTAACCTTCTGGACGGCAGGATCCTGATTTCATGCAGATGTGTAGGTAATAAGGGTTGGGGGAGGTGAGATGCAAATAGAGACTTTATAAGCTGCTTTAATTCAACCCAGGCTATTTTTCCATGCAGAAGTGGCTCCCCGAGCACAAAGCACGTCTTGGGGCTAGTGCAGCTGCCCGAAGTAGGCATCTCTGCTTCTCTGGATTTGCTGGCTGCTAGTAAAAACCTTTTGAAGCTCTGATTTCAGCTTTGCAAAGCAATTCTGAAAGGGCAGTGCTGTAATTACTTTTATTTACTCTTCAAATTCTAGTGGAAAAAAAAATCTGGGCTGCATTCTTAACGCTCTGAGTGGAGCGAGTGCATTTTTAGTGCACTGATAGGAATGCAGCTTCCCTCTGCCTGGGCTGGTATTTTTTCCTTTTTCTCAATTTCTTCTGGTGCTAACAGCTACATTCAAGGAACAAGCACTTGCAAAAGCTGCGCTGTGTATAAATCAAAACCTTATTCCTGTTGCTGTGTCCAGCACTTGATTGGGAAGAAGTTGCTCTTTAAAACAAAATGCTTTTTTTTCCACTCTCCTAAACTGATGCTAAATCCTAAGATGGGAGAAACTTTCTGGACCCTTGTCAAAAGCAGAAATTTTCTCCTAGTCCCTGGCCTGCAGCATGGCTCCTTAGAAGTGCTAAACAAGTTATTCTTGCTTCTCTGCTGAAACAACCACTGAACCTGATAGTATCAGCGCTCCTGCTCATGTGAAACTGCTGCTCCAATTTGGGGTGAGAGGAGGGAGAGGAGGTGGCTCTCCCGAAGCAGAGGCGTTGCTTGTCGTAGAGCCTCTGCCCACCTACGAGCCTCGATGCTCTGTGTATCGTGGTCCTGCCTTCAGGATTAGCTGCTCTCTGTGACCAAAGGAAGCCAGGAAGCTTCCTCCTGGAGTTGTTTGGGCTCCGTTTTTAGAGCCGGTGGCTTTATCAGTACGTGTTGCCTGCCCTAACCTGTCTCGAAGGAGCATTCAGCAGACTTTCCCAGATAATCATCCTGGGAGATGGGCTCAGCTAGGATCCCAACCAAGATCTTGGGAACACGTAGCTCCCAAGTGTTGCTGCCTCTTGCCCTGAACTGTTGAACTCAGTTCCACGGGGAGCTGTATCATCACCGCTCTGGGACTGCAGGTGACCAGTAAAGTCTGGACAAGGCAAACGTGTGGCTGTTACTGTCTGTAGCGCTGTGTTCACCTCTGCAGCCCCATGCCCAGAGGGAAGGTACCCAGCATTTTCTAGTGCTAGTGCAGATATCTGCCGAAGCCTCTTGGATGAAATGAGAATTGGTTTAAATCCAGAGGGACTGCTGCTCTCAACTTGTGAATATCTTTTGCCCGGTTGTTTTGTGGTGAGCCGGAAGACTCTTTAGAGTAGAGCACTTAGTTCTCAGAGGACCAGCTTCTGTGTTACCCCAAGGGTAACAGAGACCAGATCTGCCTGTGTCCAGAATCTCTTTAATGGCATGGAATTAGTAGTGAGCTGCCTCTGAACAGCTCAAAACCCCCAGTATCCTCAGTTTGGGTTTTTTTTGTGGTCGTGTCCATTTTCTTTGTTTTTGAAAGTGGGCAAACTGTTTCCCTGTGCTTGTGTTTCCTGTGGCAAGCTCCTCCAGGGAGCTTTAGCACAGTGTCTTCTCGAAGGATCTGCTCGCATCTTTGGTTAATGGTGAGTGAGCTCTTGAGGAGTTGGTCTGAGATTTGGCTGGCTAGGAGAGAGTGGTATTTCTCAGCTTATCCTTTCCTTTGGCTTCTGTTTCCCAGCAGATGGGTACAAAGCTGGGAAGACCCTGGTTGGAGTAACCATCCTAACAGCTTGATTGCCTACCTGTGAGGACAAGCTTTATATTTCTCAATGTCACTGAGACACAGCAGTACCTGTCAGCTTCAAAAATGTCCTGCAAACAAAGAGAAATTTGCTGTCAGAATCTGTGATGCTGCCTAGGTTTTCAGACCAGCCAGCAGGAGAGGCAGCTCCGTGCCTGCGGTAGAGGCGATCAGCACATGCAGCAGGGAAGGGTTCAGCCGTCTCGGCTGAAAGGTGAGCAGAATGGGCCCTGTGTAAATGGCATGAGAATCTCCACCTTAGCATATGGGAGGCACAAACTGTATGGGAGC